TCATGATGCTACTCTATAAAGGACCGACTGCTGTTGTGGAATAAATCTTCCAAAACTGATGCAGTAAAAATGGTTCTTCAGCTGTGGACAGAGGAACTAACATAGGCATGTGCAAGAGTAGCTGAACTCGGTTGTGGAACAGTGGATGGGCCAGCTTATACGTTTTCTAAAGTATATTTAGGATCTTGTAAATAAAGGTGTTCATGTACTCCCATTGCTTTTTTTTCTTCAGAAGGAATATTTTCATTACATCCATTCACAAATGTTGTGAACAAAAAGATGCAATTAAAAGCTGAACTTCAGGCTTAATATTAGTATTAGAAAAGTGCTTCTTCTAGTAACCCAGCCAAAGGCAATGAACGAGTTAACCCTGGCATACCAGCTCCAACAAGGCTGGAATGATGAAATGGGTAAATATGTTTTCCATTCATCTGTTAACACAGCCTGACCTTGGTCTGTAACAGAGGAAAGGCGGGTCTTCTCAATAGGCTCCGGCAGAACAAAAGACAAGCGCAAATGAGGGTGACTCAGGACTTCTAGTGGCCTACATGTGATTGAACGTTTTCTGAATGATCCCACATTTACACTCAGGAATCAGGAAGAGAACCCTTTTGCACTTCACTAGCCAAATAGAACTAATCTATTAATTGTCCTGAAGCACTTTCTTTTGGGTCTATCACAGTGACATTAAAGGAATGTGAAGTGTGGAAAACATTCTTTGGCTTTTCCAGTAATCTATCAAAGTGCAGGTTTTAATTGACGTTATCCCAATCTATTAATAAATGCAAAATCAACTTTAATAAATGCAAATGCACTTTGTGATTAGAATTAATAGTAAAGAGTTATCTAAAACTCAGTCACAGATAGAGGCACAGGAAAGTTTACTCTTGCATTCTTTGTACTGTCTCCAAAAACAAGCTCTTCCTGAAGATAGATTGAATATCTGGTACTCCATTTTGCAATCCTCACTGTGACAAAAGCCCCCTTAAATTACTTAAGTGTTGGGTTTTAGGACCTTTGCATGTAAAAAAGAATATGTTAATAATTACAATGATTGCTCTTTGTTTAATTTGTGATGGGTCAAGTTTATTTCTCTTGTATTTAAAATCAGAACACTTTACTTACATTGCACGGTTGCTAAAGTGGATGCACCATACTATTGCTTAAAGCAGTGATTCTCAACCAGGGTGTTGCAGCACTGTGGGTTGCCTTGAGATTCTTTCAAGGGTGCCACACAATATTAGCACTTTTAGGTGTGCAAACATGATTCACAAGATAAAGCCAGAGATTTCAAATATGAATCCATAGGGTTAAAAATATTCTGATCTTGCTGATTGCTTTGCAACAGAAGAATTGCTCCATTTTATTTTTTTAATCAAAACATTGAGTGAAAACAGTATACCAAGTAAGAGCTGACATTTTCTGAGGGATGCCTTGAGTTCAAAAAAAGTTGAGAACCACTGGCTTAAAGTGTTGCTTTAGACACGTATGATACAGGAATTTTTAACTATCAACTACAAGCCATGGGCTGATTAAAATGTAAAGGGAATGGGGTTAATACAGTGTTTGTCCTCCTCAACTCTATCTTATATTCAGGGTTCCATCCAAGCCTGGAAACAGAAAAATGGCAAGTCATGTTCTCCTTTCTAAGGAGAAAAGTACCACTGAATCAGTTATCCCTGTTAGTAGGGTAAGTGGGATCTGGCCCAAGCACCGAAGGAAAGGATCCAGGGGCTCTGTTGACATAATAAACCACTAGAGAGCACTCTCAAATATATTTATACCCTTTTCCTAAGTGCTAGTTCATAAAACACATGGTTGCCATGGCCTGGTTTACAGCATGTCTAAAAAGAGAGCTCCAAAATATACCAGGTTTTCTGAGGCCACCACAAGAACTGTCAGAACCTCCCTTATGCTATGACTTTCCCATCTACTGGGAACTTTAATGAACAATAATGCACATTATCAAAGCAAGGAACAAGGATAAAAGAAGAGGGTTCTTGGCCTTTTGCTCATTCCTTTTCTATACTGGTTGGGGGAGGGAGAGGGGAGAGGAAGAGAGGGGAGGAAGGAATTTTTATTTTTTTTTGCTTTAGTTGACAATCTCTATTTCTGTATTCATCCCCTACAATTTGTTTCCCT